CTGCTCGTTCTCCTGCTTAAGTGCATGGACAATTGCTGCAATCACCTGAGCATCCTTAGTGTCGTCACTTTTTGACAAGAAATAAACCAGCACACTCAACGAGAGTCGAGACATCTCATCGCTTGTGTCCTTAAGTCTCTCTAGCAGCAGCTTGAGTTTGTTGCGGACATTGAGGCGTTGACTGGATAGTTCCACGGCCTGTAAAATGTGAGGGTCTAGTACTAATTGCACCAGCTCCAGGACGCTGCGAGTCTGCGCCAGACGCGCTCTAGGTGTCCTAACAGGCTTCAGAAGACCGTCAATTAGGTACATGACGTCGTCCAGCTTGGCTGCTAGCTGACCGTCCTCCTGTAGTAGCAATGTGCTCTGTAGTGTTACGATCGTGGAGGAGTTGCAGCACGGAGATTTATGCCGCTAACGCTGTGACGACATTCCCGTTTGGGTGAGCAGCACATGTATCGTCTTGGATAGACGAAGGCAATGCAGCGCACGCGAGATGTTTCCTTTTGGCGAGGAAAGAAGAAGAGAACATGTTTACGGGAATTCATTTTCCCGCACCTTTTACTCATAATTACCCACCTCCAGAGGTGGGTAATTATGAAATGATATGCTATTTGCCGGGAAAACACATGTGATTTGGGGCGAAATGGCATGTGATTATTTTTGGATTTTGATCAAGTCTGACACCCCCTAATGTAGCTGATCGAGAACCTCGGGATTGACTGTGCCACTTATTGTATGCCTACTGTTGAAGTACCAATTCGTAGGTACTGAGCTTTTTACGAGATTGTTTACGTCTCGTGTAATTACGCCGTATCCCGTAGAATATCGACTGGTTAGGATTGATTGTTGGTAGAATACCTGGTAGAATAGCCTCACTTTCCTTTTGGTAAAGCCACTGAAGAGGCCTCTGCAGGGGCCGAAACGCGTCTGGCACGCGACCAACATGGATTGTCATTTCACCTACGTTTCCTCGCTTTAACACCTACGGTTCACAATTTGCAATCTCTGACCATTCAACGAACGGTCGAAATGAAAGCATCTGCTCAAGCAGACCATGAAACTGATTGTCGCAATAATACGTTCAGTACATGGCTGTACTGTCCAATAGAAAGTCCTAGGTTGTTGATCTGATGACTTTTTATTGCGAAAATCAAATGAGTATTTAAAACCAGGTATTTTTCCTGTATTACCGTATTCAGATTTGGTCCTCTATTCTGGCATTGGCACCACTATAGGAATTTCAAAGTTATGTTTATTATTAAGATTTACAATATATCATGAGTGGCTTTGAGCCGCACATATTTCGCTCGTCATTAATACCGTCTCCATCGTCTAAAGGTAGGCAGACATCGCAGAGACGCAGCGTTCAAGTCGTAGACCTCTTGCCATCAGTGTGATGAGCTGTCGAGATACATAGAGAAGTTGCAGCGGGGGTGAAACTTGAAGACGCCGAGGGGAGGTTATGAGTGCATATGTCAATTTAAGCAGCATTTTCGACGGCGATCGGACGACAAAAGTATCGCATCTAGAGCTATCTGATAGCTGCTATTGTTTATTTTTTGTTTACGTTTGAATCAAACATGACGTAAACAAAGAGTAAACAATAGCAGCTGTCAGAAGCGCACTAGATCTAATTCCCGGTGAAGTCTGTTTTGATATTAAGATACGATATTTTCCGGGAGTCCTTGGTCCAGAGGTATCGTACTTCAGTTGAGATCTTTTGGGTTGACGGTCATTACCAAGGAGAACAAGGTAAGGAGCACCACCGTATCAAAAAGAAACTACTCGAGCACGTAAACGTTTCTAAAAGTAAGAAACACAACAATACTACACAAGTTCCCGGAGCAAATCTCGCGGCACAGGTACTGTACTGTCCGCATTTCAAGCTTATGTGACAACAGACCCCAATGCTATAGCATTGGCAGCTGTCCTGACGGCTTGACAACACATACTTACAAGTTATTAGTTATAATTGCTTACTGTATCTGACAGAAACGTTACTACTACTTAAGTAAAGTTACTCAAACTCTCCTCAAAAAAATACTCTACCGTATCCAGTACTTAATATATATGTACGGCAAGACTGCCGATGGCACTCTCGAAGGAGCGATTACTTAGCCCACTTTAAGTGAGATGGTTGCAAAATCACTACCACCATGGCAGATTAAGCAAACGAAAAAAATGGCAGCTTGCCACCGATTGCGAGAGATGCTTGGAAAACCACTGCCAGCATTAAAAGAAGAAAGTTAATCTATATAGTGCATTACATTATATACATGAACTTTCTTCTTTCAAATCTGAATATTGTAATATGAAATATGAACAGAATTCGCATGGATAGTAAATAATTCGCTTTTAAAGAGGAGAGTAACTGAAGTAAACTCGAGCGAGGCGGCACAGCATTTGCGTAGGCGAACCCAGTGACCAGTAATGACTCCTCCAACGAACGACTAGCTGTACTCTCCAGTGCATTTTTTTATGTCGGGGTCTGGGGTGCTACTCATTAAGCTTCTTCTAGAGGGTGGTGGTTTAAAGAAAATTTGAGCATATACTACGTAGTTTTCTAGAAGTCTATGTACTACTCCCCATCGAGTGCACTGCATACAGCTGTTAATGTTTACATTTGAATCAGACAGAGCAAGTATTTGCGCGCACCCCTCAGAGCGACACGCTCGTTCTCTGGTACTGTAAAGCCACGCCATCCAGCAGTCATTTCACGTTTTTCTTTCAGGACCACAAGGCCCTTCCTTCCATTGGACACCCCTCTCTAGACATCCATGCGCAGTCTATTCTACATCGCTCTTGTCTTTGCTGCTTGGGCTCACAGCAGCGCCGCCACAGCGTTCCCTCATCCCAACGAGTCTGGGCTATTGTCGCAGATATCTCCTGACTCTGCGGCCCAGGCCAAGAGATCCCTTCGAGTCGCTGGCCAAGAAGTTGTCCAGAGCACGGGGAACGGGTACGGTGGGGTCTTCAAGTCAGCAGGCACGAGTGTCAACAAAATCATCCCAAGGCCAGATTCTGCGGACATTAAAAAACTCGTCGAAAAGGCCAACTTGGTCCGATTGATCAAAAATGCTGCGAATAAAAGTAACAAGTAAAAGGTGGTTCAGCTCTCAAGTCCTCGCGTCGTATAGAAGCCCGGGAAAGTAGCCTCAGCTGCAAAGAGAGAGTCTGAAGCTACCCTCTGACAGTGCGAAAAAGTCATGACGAGGTCATTCTGGACAACTTTCTAGTAAAGGAATACAATTTAAGCTTGGTCATGAGAAGATTTTGGAAATACCGTACTCCTGATGTGCTTGGCGACGGAACCGTTTACTGACGGTAGCGAGTTACTAATCAGAGCACAGCCTTGTTCGTACCGTCAAACTTTATATTCTTGTAGACAAAGTGCAATTTCTTATTATCAACATTTTTTTTATTGTTATGTCACAACGGCAACAACAGGTCGTAACAGAATAGAGCCCTAGTGAACAACAAATGTTCGGAAAAAGAGTAGCATACACCTTTATTCGGTATAAGGAAGTATCGAAGCCTTAAAAGCTGTCTAGATATTGCTTAATTGGCTTAGAGACTGATCCAACTAAAATGCTCATTAAATTTTTGAATAGAATTTGTTGCAAATTCTACATCATAAAGTTATATTCAATGAAAATCATTTCTGATAATCTGAAGGCTGACCAATACAAATCATGCAAATGCCTATCGGCAAGCCAATAGGGAATACGGTATATTTTCAACTGGCCATTTCTGAAAGGCTCTCCCTACTGTCACCCAGTTTTTCGTTAAAGAATGGACAAAACGGCGGATAATATGGTGGGGTTGCTACCGGTATTGATGCGGTATTTAGAGAAAAGTGTTTCAAATTGCGTGATACACTCAATGCAGATCTCTTGCCTTTAGCGTATACATGTACTGCACCACAGCACCAGCATTGGAAGCACTGGTATTGTTGTCATCTTCTCGTAATAAACTCTCTCCTTACACTCAACATATATTCACGCATTATTGGTGGATGTCTGCGTCTGCCACTACGCGATCAAATACGTTGGAAAAATGCTTGAAACGCATGTACATCAGCTCGTCGGGGTGCATTTTGTTGCCGCGAGTAACAGGAATGCTCTGGTCGGGTGGAGTAGCTCGAGCGATAGACATGTAATGTTCGAACCAGAGAACAACCAATAGTCCGCAGCTATAACCGTCTTCTTGTAGACAGCCTGGGAAATTTTTAACTTCCATCACACTAGCCATAATGGGTCCAAATCGACTCTCGAATATGTCTTCCACCTTGCTTAGAAAATCCTCTCTGTGAAAAGGGTCATATGTCCATACTGTGTGCCGCTCCATGTCAAAGATGATATCACACCAGTGGGGAACGACACGTTAATATAAGTCGATCCGATTCGCTTGCATTTGGCTGAAGATGCGTTCGCTAGTGTCGATAAATCCACTCCTTCTTTCCACGTCTGCCATTTGGAGGTAAATAGGGTAGACAACAGTCACTATCTTAGGTTGACACCACGACAAGAAGTAATCATAAAACTGAAGAGACGATATCTGTTAGCATCACGAAAAAAAACCAGTTAGTAAATGGTGAATATATAACCAAGTATTCATTTTTTGTGATAGTATCACCAAACATCGGTAATCTTAACATTAAAAATTGAACTATAGGTAGATATCATCGGTCTTCATCGGTCTCGCACCTGTTGCGATTAGTTCCATGTGTAGCATCAATGCATAGAGCCTCTGGGAACTTCCTCGCCATCCTCCTCATGTGCGCGGTCTGGAAGGTGATACAGCTTGTGAGACTTGTTGCAGAATCGCGAAAAATTCTTACTGCGTTCCCCGGTCCCTCTCCAAAGTCCTGCAACAACTGGGACACTCGAACGTTGTCATCTGATGAAGTGTACGTCTCGCGACGCATCTCAGCGATCATGTTCTCCACATCCTTCTGTTGAAGCAGCTTGCCAGATACTTCTTTCAGGTAGCACAAGATTATTTTGCGTTTCGAACCACCTACAAAAGATTTTAAGAGGTAGAACATACCTCAGTACACATAATATCAGTAAAGCATGTTTCTTTTACCTTGCCACATTGTCTTGGTAACACGCTTGTTCCCTGGTGATTCGATTTTGCGTGTCTCCGCATGACAGGTGTACTCTTCGGGGCCCACGCTGTGATTATGAGTCGACTGGTGCTTCGAGATTCGAACAGTGTAGACTCCTTTGTCTCGGTTCAGCACGGCATTCAATCGCGCCTTGCAACCAATTCCCGATCAACGGAGACTGCAGCGGTACAGTATTCAGAAGTGCATCTCGCTCCGCAGTACTACAAGCAGCTATTCCTGTGCATTGTAGATATGGCTATAGTAAAAGGTTACATTGTTCACTGCATCACTCTCAAGAAAAGAGGAGTATCTCCGCCCACCCATGCTGATCATCTACGCAGCATGCACAACCAGTTGCTATCCCTTCAACCGATCAATTTCGAAAGACACATGAACACGGAAGACCTGGTCAGTGTACCTATTCCAAGGCGAGCGCACGTCCTGGTCAACACGGACGAGTTCTATTCATCCGGAAAACAGCACAAGCGACCCCAATATCTATGCAAGGTGCGCTCTGCGTTTGCTGACAAGAACGCAAAGTCGTATGAGTCCAGCTACTTTTGTCAGGAATGCAGTGCTGCGTTTGGCGGTCGAGTACCGCTGTGCGACAGTATTCGACGCAAGGAGGAGGGGAACACACACACACACCTGCTAAGAGATCTGACACGAGGCCTGGAACGACGGCAAAGCGATTCCTCCTGGACTGAAAAAGAAGGTCAGATCCCGCAAACGAAAAGAGAGAGAAGAAGACTGAGTTTAGTTTAGGTTAGCAATAGTATCACGATGAACGAGTTTTTAGTCAATTGCAGGTTTTTGGCCATGTTTTACTCAGAAATGCACCAATAGAAGATCGCAAATTCTGTAGCTAATGAATACACTGTGGGCGCTATGTCCACGTTCGCTGCTGCTTTATTCAGAACTTGACCGTTTTTTAGCCACCAAGCGCGATAGGGCTTTAAAGTATTTTGAAACCAAGATATTGGCTTCTTCTGTAGAATACAGAATAAAAGCTCGGGCAAAAAGATTTAATTAAGTGTCTTTTCTAGGGTTGACGACTGCGATCCTTCTGCGGAGTAATGATCGTGACTTTTATGGAACCACGAGGGTCGCTGTTCGGTGGGTCCACGCTTGGATTCGATGGATACACTTGGTGACCACTAGCCGAGCACCGCCGCTACACGGTGGTAATTCATGATTGGGCGCTATTGCTAAGGTCTTAATCGCCTTTGCTTCGCTTCGGCGGGATTACACCCTTATTTAATCATTTTTATATTGATTACCGTAAAAATAATTGTTTTCTCTAACCCATTTATTGGTTACTTTAATATATTTCCTAAAACTATTTTTTGGTTACTTTAAATATTTCATTTAAGAATACAAACTATTTATCACTTTATAACAATCTCGATAAAGTCTAATCTCCAAGTTGGTCAGTACAATCCATAGGTACAATGTACTTTGTACTATTATGGCCTCGTGCGTATACCTATACTAACACGTTAAAGTTTTATACCATTCATTGTATTATATAATTTATTTACGAATATTTAGTCTCGTTCTCTAACACTATTAACCCTTTCGCGAGCGGGTACTTTTGACCTGGCTTGATAGTAGTATAGAAGGTCAAGTCATAAGGCCATCAAAGGGGGCATTTTGCCCCCTATCATAAACTACGGTACTACAGCAAATCTTCTGCAAATCCTTGTAGTTCAAGTAGAAAGGGCGAATCCGCCTTGTCGAACACACAAAAATAACGAAAAGGGGAATTTTGCCCCCATTCGTGGGTGACACGAGCGGTACTCAAGGATACGCCCTCCAAAGGGGGAAAAATGCCCCCATTGACCACGAAAGGGTTAACAAACGTCTTATTCTTTAAATATTCATTTTTTTGGATTTGGAACTGTGTAGTCTGAAGTGTTTCCTCAGTTCGTAGTATTGTTCAAACACCACTCAACCAAAATGAAATGATACTGGGTTTTGTTTGCGTTGTTTCATGCCGCCTACTCTTGATGTAGAACTACCCCCAAATAGCTGTGTTGACAGCAGATCACACGCACAGGTTACAGCAAAGTGACTTTGGGCTCAACTACCGATATAGTTAAGTCTTTCTCTATCTCAAGTATTCTGCTTTCGATTAATCGTCCACGTTTACAGCGAGTTTGAGTTCGTTTACCATTTATGGATTAATAAAATATCCAAGCATAATCATCTAAAACTCGTCGCATCTATTTTGGGTCGTTATCACAGCTATATGTAAACAAAACCTGTATTCTAACAATTTTATAATGTCACTATAGTATTCATGTATTTAATATTGTTGCGAAATAAGCCAGGAGTTCGAGTCCATACGAATAATGATCAGTCTTCAAGAGAATAATAGTGTTTTTTTGGTGGGTTAATATTTAGTTTTTTTCTGTGACTAATGCTAAAAGCCTCTTTAGAGAATAATGATCAAGTTGCTTCTCCATTATGGTAATAGTACCGGTTATTATATCTGTTATTGTATCTGGGACTATATCTCAGTACCAAATTCTGGTACTGTACCATTTGCTGGTACACCTTCTCGGTTGAAGCTACTCGCGTGTATGGTCAATGGCACTAGTGTCGCCACTTTAAGATTTCCTTCGAGAATCCGGAACGAGGCACATCATTAACAACAACACCAAGTAAGACACAGGTAAAGAGGATCAATTTGCCGGAGACGTCACCAAATCGATCTGTCACCGAGATTGCTTCAGCTGACGCCGCTATTGTCCTCAAGTCCTGGTTTTCTGGAGTTGACCAGCGACAACCCCGGATCTTACCTGCAATAAGCTGGGGCATCCCATGGACTCCTCAATGTGAGAGCTCAAGCGACAAAGCCAGACCGCTTGAGCCTCCCGTGCCTCGGTAGTACGCGGAATACTTCGAGTCCGCTACCTATGACTCGGATGCATTGGCCACAATTGGGCCCCCATTGCTCACTCTCTGACGGTGATTCTTACCGGAGTCGCAGAACAGCTCGCCCCGGTTCCAGTGGTCGGTGCCTTCCCGGGAACTACTAGAGCCACTAGACAAAAATGCTAACCCCACTAGAGAGTACCAAAAACATGGCACACGAGTTGATAGCAGTAGATATAGATTACGCTTTCTCGTACTTCAACTCTTAGTCAAGCATCTCGCTCCAATTCGCCGAGGATCCTTGGATGCTGTCATAATAAAAGCTCACGAACTACCTGCTGTAAAGGATTTCATCGCTGAGTTTGGAAAGTAGACGTTACGTGCAGGTGGCTATATATCATACCATTCACTAGGCTATGGGGGTACAGGCAGAGGTGACAGCATCGTTCAAGCTCGCATACTGTCCATTGATCCTGATGATGATAGATACGCGTTAGCGCTCGACACACGAGAGTTACTGATTACAACATGGAAAATTAGATCCGACAAAGACCCCCAAGGGCAACAACAGCTACGCAACATTCGCACTTACCAACTCGCGAACAGTTCAATTTTCGCTCAAACCCGTCGTGAGCAGTTCGCAAAAGGAATTCGCGACCTCCCAGAAAAAAATAATGCCAGAATTAAACAGCAAGAGACACACAAAAAGTTTGAAAGACTTGAGTAACTACAACATGAGCAACGGTGGTATATCCTCTGATTCGGGCTCCAACTCTGATACTGATATTGCTAGTGCCCAAGAAACGCCCTATCCTCAATCTGTTTGTTCGACTGCAGCAGCAGTGAATGGACGGCCTGTTGCTCTAGTGTCTTCTTCCGTTCATACACAATCCAATAAGTATTTTGTTTCAAGTTCCCCCCACACAAGCGTTTTCGTCTCCAGAGCGTGCTAAATAGTTGCTAAAAATAGGGTGAGCAACTTTGCAAGAGGTTATGGCTATGCTCTTGTGATTGAGCGATCGGTCCCAGATAGAAACAAAGTTAAATATCGAGTCATATTTGCTTGTGACAGATATGGAGTGTTTAAACCCACCATCAAAGCAAGAAAAGCTGCAAAGCGTCGACAAAATTCGGCGTCCCCAAAATGTGGTTGTGAAATAAAAATTAATTTGTATCTTAACCGCGACACGAATGCATGATATCTTCACTATGACGAGTCCTTTCGATGGCACCGAAACTTTAATGGAAGTGAATTATGGCACAACCACAGGCCCTCAATGGGCCCTTCTTCGCATCCCGAACACCGCAAAGCAGAGAATACAACAGTAATTAGAGAATCGATTGTACAAGACGCTCAACTGGGTATTAAGCCATCCCGAACGATGACCCGCATTTTGGAAGGAAATCCAAGTTTGGCTATCGTAATGAAAGACATCTCCAATATTAGACATGCAAAAAGACATTCGTCTGCTGATAAAGACAGATCAAGAGTTGAATACCTTTTGAATAGGCTACTGGGAGACGATCACTACTCGACTCACAAAGATGATTCTCTTTAACAACTTACGCATCTGTTTTTTTTTTTTTGCTCTCCAGAAAGCTGGCACTATTTTTAAGGAAAAAGTTGATGTCGTACTTATGGACTGCACCTTTAAGACATATGCGGTCGATATGCCACTTTTGAACATGATTGGTGTGACGGGTATGAACACTACGAATCATTTAGCGCAGAGTTTCATCCGTATTGAGACTGGTGGCAACTACACGTGGGCGCTCACTGAATTGAAGACGGTATGGACCTTGAGAAGATTTCGTATCCTCAGGTGATTATGACAGACTGTGATATCGCTTTGATGAATGCGTTGGAAACTATTTTTTCCGGAGTTCCTGTTATATTGTGGGTTTAGCATATACTCATGGATGCTCGAAAACATGCTCGCGAAACTCAAAGAGATGACACTCGTACAGCAAGTACTCAAACTCAGCAATTTTGTGAGTTTGGAAATACCCGAGCCGACACTACACAACACAGGACTTCTAATACCAAAAATGAGGCCGATCGCCTCAAGCCAATTGGCATCAATGCCGTTCGATTCGAAAATCAAGTAGGTGCAGTCTACAACACGTCATCTTAAAAAAAACAATCTAAAAAAACGGAGGAAGGACAAAGTTGAAGATTCAGTTAAGATCGACGAATATTGTGAAACCTTTCGCATACTTACGAAAGCATCAACAGCAAATGAATACGAAATATTTCATCAGCAACAGCATCGGCAATGACCAAGAGAGGCACAGTATGTAGACAGGGTGTGGCTAGACATGTGAAAAATGCGTTTCGTGTGTTGCTGGATTGATCGTCATGTTCACTTTGATATATAAGCAACATCACGCGTTTAGGGTTACCACTCAGCCCAAAAAGATTGGCTATTATCCAGAGGTGATTTCCTAAAAAAATATATATCACGCAATAAACTTGTGTTGGCGAAATTCCATTAAAGATCATCGAGATGCTGTATCGGATGAAAGTGTCAGGATTCCTAAAACTTTATGTGGAATTATGTTCGCTGACGTCGTTAAAACGTTACATCGCTATCCTTTACTCAGATGCTGGAGTATTCTTACTTGGCCCGTCACGAACGTATGCAGCAAAAGTTTTTACCCATGCGACAGGGTTGCCGTGCCCACACCGCCTTCAAGAGCTTCAACAGGAGGGAAGTCTCTACAAAAATCCGACTTTCACGCTCATTGGATGATTTATAGATTTACAGAGCCTGAGCCACCTCGTGCAATGGTATTTGAGCCTGACATCGAAACACGACGCGCGAACAACAAACAATATATGAAATCACACATGAAAGGACTTGGAATATCTGGAACACCAAGACTTTTGTCATCCTTCGAACGATCGGAGGCAACAGCGTCCAGAATTCCACTAGACCACAACAGCTCACTTACAGCTCCTGTATTCCTAGGTCCAAGGCCTAGTGAAGTTCTCGGACATTTACATAATCTTGGCGTTGATACTGAAGAAGAGATAGATAATCGATACAGCTTTTAAGTGGGTTACGTGGAGATGACAGTCGATGTCAGCTGTAGAGGCTAGAGATAAGGTATGCGCATTTAAAATTTTAATAGTTTATGGTAATCTATTTATATTTACTGTTACCAACTCATGTGCCATGTTTTTGGTACTGTCTAGTGGGGTTAGCATTTTTGTCTAGTAGCTCTAGTAGTTCCCTGACTTCCCGTCCATCACCAAACGGGATGAGCTCGAATGGCCAGCAGATGTCCCATTTTTGAGGACGCATTCAACCCCACCCCAGCCGGCTAAAATTTCGTGTGGATAGTGTTGGTGTTTGCATGGGCCCTGGGTGTGAATGTGATGGCAGGGACAACGCGATGACCTGGGTTAATGTTCACAATAGTCAGTTGTGCACCCGAGTACAACTGCTCTTTTTGGGGCGGGTGCGGCAATGCATTTCAAGAAAGCAGAGCGTTGGTGATAAGTTGCAATGCTCGCACAGACGAGCTAGGTTTAACGGCCACGGCGCTAATTTCGGCTGGCGACGTGATTGGCGAATAGATGGGTCAGCTGCAGCTGTTCTGTCCGCTGGATAATCATGGTCGGTTTAACCAGTCTTACAGAATGCAGTTGAGGACTCGAACGACAACATATAAATACGTGGGGATTGGCGCGATGCACGTAATGGAAAGCTTCGTTTCATCAATTACTCGCTCAACCCCTGTTGCCGTTTCATAACGTTCAAACTGGTGGCCATCTCATCATGGTGGCGATGACACTACAGGATGTTTTCCCGGGGGAAGATGTTACTATTTCTTACGGGACCAAACAGTGGTTCCATTGTCGCTGTGGCTGGAGCGGATGCCAGCACCGAGATCTGCAACATTTCGTCAAGCTATTCAACCCACAGACCGCCTGAACAACTCAAGAGAGAACGAGCACTGGCAGTGAGTTCACCGCGACGTTTCATTGAAACTTGGGTACAAATTGTGTATAGCGATCTTCCTTAAAAATACACACACACACACACCTATATATAGTGTCGTAAAACTTTTGGTTTATAATGACTCTCCTCGTTGAGAACAGAACAATGTACGTGAACCATCATTCGCATGCATTAAGATGATTAAACAAGTTACTTTTACTCCATTTTCACAATCCTCCCAGCCCAAAGCGAAGCATCCTAGTTAAACCAAGCGACTTGAGTTAACAAAAAAAAACAGAAGTAGCGGTGGTAGAGTTGACCGTGGGATGCTGTGATCCGCGCTGACACGGTGGCATCTCAGCAACTCCCTTGCCAACCTTGGCGCTGAGGTGGGTCTTCCGGGAAGGGTACGGTCGACGAGGCTGCCCAATCCCAGCGGGGTTGTCCCGTAGGACCCATATGCCCTCGATGGCGGTCCGACTAATCTGAAATAGCTTCTTAATGCGCTGTATCGTGTTGTAGCGGAGGCGTCTTTCCTTGCTTAGAGTAGTAAGGTATACTCCCATCACGATGCGTGCCTTGGGTGGTATGTCATTGGCTCCGAACGTTCGCTCCATTGAGATTAAAGTTGTAATGTAACCTTTCGGTATGAACAGTCCTCAACGGATTCATTCCACGCTACTGCAACTCGATCGATGTTATCTCGCTCAACATTTAGCCGTAGCTGAACGTTGAGCATATTTTGGAGTCGGCTTGTCCATATCTGATAGTTAAGGGATATAGGTATTGGTCACGAACTCTCGCAGGATTGCTAGCCACACATTTTCTCTTTGTGGGCGTGTCGAAGTCAATGGACTCAAGAGGACTTAACATCAGCAGTGCAATCGCCGGGGACATTTCGTGAGTTCAAGAAGAAGAGTGACTACCCTGTCTTTTCTAAGGATTCGTTTGTACAATTGGTAACGTCCACGAGTTAAAACAGTATAAAACTTGCCCAGGAGGCAGCCAAAACGCAGATCATCAGATATCCAAGAGGGAATACCAAGAGAACAACAAGCAAATAGAATGTTTTATGGATTCGGTTTATCACTACATTTTTGTGTCAATTTGGCCTCGAAGACTGCTGGGAACCTATTAAGACGATGAGTGAAGATGTTCCTCAGCTTGTCTTAAAATACGCTACGAGCTCAAAAGATGACCTTTTCTTACGCACCGTGATGAGTGCTATTGATAACAAAAAGCACCAGCGCTCTAAGTGTAACATAACCAAAGCAATGGCTATACCCTTCGAAAAACGATGATCGAGTTGGTGAGGTGATTGCATTTATCAGCGAATGACAACGTTCTGGTTTACGATACCAATGGAGCATTTGGATATGGTATTAGTGGATATGATTAGCAAGTTTCAGCGCGATCGAATGCCTAATGATAATATAATTCAACATTATACCTTTTCGACTCTATGATTGGTTGAAATACGGATCTACGTGGTCTGATTGGGTCGAAGCTGATTGTTACAAATCTTATGGAGAGCTACCTGAAACACTTCAACGCGTTGAAGTTAATGGACTGGCTATGCCCAAATGCGACAAGATAAATTCGACTAGTCAACGATCATGAAGTTAGAGGAGGCAGCAAATACGTCGTTGGAAAGCTTGGGGGGACAGTGTGATGGTATCAAGCTCACATCTTACGACAGCTCCTCCAACCCGCAGCCAACGTAGTTGGCAGGCTCACTGTTCGGCTTTAGTTAAGCAGATCTGCAACAAGGCTCATTGTTCATCCTGCAGTTACTGCCGCAGAAGACAAGCAAGGACACAGATGTTGTTACTGGTTGCAGTTGGGTGCAGTCAGTAGAAGTTACAAAGGCGACATCCCCTGGACTGCCGAGGTAGAATAGATAGCTCACTTTACAATCTGCATCAAAGCAACCAACACTGATCAATACACGTTGGTTTTCGGGAGTTTCAGCTCCCAAATCGCGAGCACGTCACATAATCTGAGTTAATATGGATTCATTGGCTTTCGCATTCATATACTCCTTGAACAGATATAGCCAGAACAACAACCTTTGTAGAACCTGGATAACGAAGGGATATGGTTCATGGCGATGATCTCGGAAGGACACGTTGCTTAGACATTCCCTTTCGTTTCGCCCGAGAGCATGGGTCGCCCTTTGGCCGTCTCAATCCACGCATTCACCGTCATACCGCTGCATGCAATTGTACAGCCAACTCCAGGAGAACCGATCTCTCCTTCTCTGATATGTGCGGCCGTGTGACTAGTGTCTACCCTCGAAACCGGAATGATATTGAGGTAGGATATACTGACGCAAAGCTTCTGGTAGTATCAATCAGATCAATCCATCGCGCTCTTCGTCAGTACGCTTCGTCGATGGACAGTAGAAGAGCAGATTATTCAGATTAGCCTCGTAATCAGCAGCTACAAAACTATAGGATTTGGTATCGAGATCCATTCCTCCTCGTCATGTGCCCTCCGGATCCGATCATTTCGAAGTCCTCTCTCAAATTCTTCTTGTCAATTCTGGGATATAGATGTCGGCCTTGCTTTAGCTCGAGTGGTTACGGCAGAGATCTGCGCTGTTGGATTGCCAGGTCGAGCCATTGAGACCTTGACAGTAGGAAACCTCTTCTACGTCAATCCCACTTTGGTTTGTAGCACCAGACTCGCTACGCTGTCTGCACTGGAGTTCCGGTCCTGCTTGACATGTACCAAATCGTTATCGGATCGCTTTTGTACTCGATTCAATACCTTCATCCTTAGCAACGTCAATCCAGGTACCTCGCAGTTGAGCTCACCTCGTACATGCCTGATCGCTATGTTCGAATCTCCAGAGATCACCAATTGTTTCTGATTAATCTCACTTAGCGGATTTGGCCAACCAGAGCTCATGTCACTCTGCCTCATAGACCATGAGGCCTTCGGCATAGGCGGCTCTATCTTTCACCACTGCCCACTGAGGTAGCCTCCACAGGGTCGTACTGTAAGCATGCTTTAAATGAGCAGATTAATCGAAACTTACCACGTACAGAACTTCATCCCGTCTTACCATCGGGATTCGAGTCTGTGTAGGACACTTGCGATCCTTTCTTGGTGCGATCCTTTTTAGAAATTTGTTCACCTGGGATCTAAGTGTAATACTTGCAGCAAGAACTCCCAGGATCTCAACTTCTCCTTTCGAATACTTCGCAGTCTCCAACGTCCACGGCGAGAGCAGGAATGTCCACTATCCCATACTTCCTTGTAGGTCGGACGATTTGATTGCAAGGCCAACGTGGAGTGCCGAGTCACGATCCGAATGGGTCACCCCACGAACAGATTATAATGGAGATCTGAGTCTGTAGAAGAGTTAGTATCGCTTTCTCTACTGTTATAAATAATAGCTACAGCCTGTAGATTTGTATCGAAGTGACAAAGCATCGGAGTAGCCTCAACCATGGCCTTCCATCTCGTTAATGCTGGATGAGCTCTGTAGTAACATGCTGCCAGCAGTGATCAGGAATAGGAAGCGACTGGAGCAAGCCTTTGCGACGACGAGATCCAGATTTATGACGAACACACGCTTCACAAGTCGCAAAGTATTGCGCGATATGCTCTCGCATCCCAGGCCACCAGAAGTATTGCCGCATCGCTACCATGGTGCGTTCAACTCCAGGATGGGCAACCACAGCAGCATCATGAAAGTCATGCATCACCCGAAGCAAAATCGAATACACTTGAGGAATCCGCAATACTCGTACAGCATCTTGACCTTTCACCACCAGTACACCATCAAGAAGATCATACTTGACACAAACTCGTTCCTCCTGACGCTGCAGCCCTTGTCGAATGTTCACCCAATCCTTGTTCTTCTTTTGCTCAACGGAACCTGCGGTTAGCTCAAGAGCGTCAAGCCCGTTACTACAATCGTGGACGACAACAAGTGCGGTTTAAGCAAGGTGATTTGGTGTACGTGGATTCACGAGTTCTTAATAGTGAACTGGGACAGCCCGACTACGACCCAGGGCGTGATCCAGCTTGCAACAAGCTTCTGCCCAAGTGGTACGGACCGTTTCCAGTGGAACAGTGTTTTGGAGAAAATGCGTATCGGGTGTCACTTCCCCATCGTTATCTAGCCCGTGGACGACATGCTACTTTCAACGTTGACCAACTGAAGCTATCCCTCGACGTTTCGGAAATTTTCCGTCGCCGCCAGATTACAAAGAGTGCACCTCGAATGTATGGTGAAGCCGGTGAAGAGTGTACGTGATTCAAGAGCTCTTGGATCAGCGTCGCTGAGGTCGTCGGAAGCAGTACCTGTGCTCATGGGTTGATTTGCCGGAGACTGAGAATTCGTGGGAATTTGAGAACGATATCAAGCATGTCAGTTACTGGGATACGCTGTTCAGAGGTCTTAAGGCAAAGATACAACAACGTACTTCGTCAACGCGCGGGCGCAGATAAACCCGGGGAGGATGTAATGTTCTCATCAGTTGCTGAGAGAGTCTGAGGACTCGAAGGCTCTACCAACCTTTGAGTTCATTTGTTGCCATCAACGGTGAATGCTAAGGTGTATTCTGATTCGTGACCCTCAACCAGCTGCCAACAACCTGAAGTGTAGCTCTGGTGAAGGTCTCCTTTGTATTTGTCTTTAGTTTTTGGTTTTGATCATTCTGTATTTTGCTTAATACAACAAAAGAAACTCCGAACTCCGAGGTCCAACATAGGAATCGCAAACGCCGCCTCATACTCCCGCCGTGCTCGTTCCCGTCGAGAGCTGTGCAGTGCCATCATAAAGTTGCTCTCGAACCAGCGAGCGTTTGCTGTTGCTAAGTAGGGATCGCCTTCGCTGGCGCGTATGGTGGTCGAGTTTCAGATTCGCCGTTCTGGTTGTCGTCAAACTGCTTTATTCAAGTCAGAGTTTCTCTCGCACGCTCTTCAGCCCATCGAGAGGCATCATTAGGCATGGTAGTAGCGCAGGTTTGTTGGCCTAACGGATCATATCTTGGCAGTGGTAAAGCTGTTGTAACCACGGACACGACTGTGCTGTACGTGCATCGCCGCGTGCCGAAGTAGAGACTCGGAGTAAGACTCAAACCCTGTTTTACAGTCACGATCTGCACCTGACGAAGCTCTTCTCGAGCTTGTAACCACGCCTGCTTCTGCCTAGGAAGGGATATACCCACCATTCCGGCAGTTTGCGCCGAACGTGACGATCAACTGGACTGATCGCCGACGTAACGTCCTGTCGCTCCCGTGTAGCATTGTAAATGTCATCCATAGATGAAGCTGCAGTGCCTGTGGATATCCTGAAACAAGAGCTGCCTTTGTCGGAGCGTGCTACTCTGAAAGTACAGTGCTGCACATTGGATACGCGTCATCTTGACGTACTACGGTATCTACGTCATCAGTCTAGAGCAACTCGTAGTTCAGCTTCAAGGAGGTCAGGCGTTGAACAGGAAGCTCGAGGGCTGCACACAGGAAGCGGTCGCTCAACGGCTTATGCATAAATCTCAATTCTACTCACTTCTCATTTCTCCGGGTTCGACTCACATACCAAGTTCCAAAAGGTTATGAGTGCAAACGCCAACACCACGACCGCCTTCACGACCAAGCTCCGCAAGTTCGACGGAACGGGATACTGCGTCTGGGCGCGGCAGCCCCAGCTGTATTTGGAAGTGAAGGATGTGTGACGTGCTGTGTTGAAGCCGGCACCAACATCGTTGCAACTCGAGAATGAGGAGACCGGCCAAGCAGATCGTCCGTTACAGCAAAGGGAGCGATCGCTACATCAGCTGCAATTGCAGCAGAAAATCGCCATGACCATCATTCTGTCGGCACTGACTGAGTATCAAGCCGCGTTGGTTGCGGACTTACCGCATCCGCAGGCCATGCTGAAAGCGCTGCAGAAGACGTATCGCCATGTGTGCGACACGACAGTCGGATCACTTAAGGGAGAGTATCTGTCTATCAACATCGATGTCGGTGGTGACATGCTGGAGCACATCAAGCAACCCCGCTTGATGTTGGCAGAATCGGAGTGCTATAAGGTATCCCTCAGTGATTATGAGAAGAAGAGTAACTTTCTACAAAGCCTTGGGCCCGACTGGAATGGCTACGTATGCTCGCTGGAGACATGCACTACGATCGATGAGCTTCTGATTAAAGCGGCCGCCGAGGCAAGGCCCCGTGCGACCCAAACACAACGTGGAAAGCGGAGTGGTGTACCAGCAGTGCGTGGCGGTAGTGCCTTTACGGCGCCCACGCACGGGAAGACAGGTGTGAAGAAGGGTGATTCAACTGTGGGAAGCGTGATCACTTCAAGAACGAATGCAAGTCGAAGAAGCGACTCATCAGTACATCTGGCGGTGGGAACAACAGCCAAGGTAACAGCGGTGGCGCAGAGAACGGTTTTGGCTTTCATGTGAGTTCTATCTCGGACTCAGCGGGAGCCGATAGGATAATCGACTCTGGCTCATCGAGTCACATGACGGGCGCGCATGTACTACTGTCTGGGCTGAGCAAGATGGACACAAACGTTGTCGTTACTACGGCTAATGGGATGAAGCTAAACGCGACGCATCGGGGGAAAGCGCGCTTGCTACTGGCTACTGGCGGAATGTGCACTTTGGATCACGTCCTCTTTGTGCCTGGGCCGCAACGCAGTATCGTCAGTCTTAGCAAGGTCGGAACTGCAGCGCTTACGGCCACGTTTGATCATAAGCGATGCGTGATTACTAGCGGCAAGTCCAAGCTGGTAGCAACTCGACGAAGCAGTGGTCTGTATGTTGTGGAGGTGCCCAGTACTATACGTAATGCTGAAGTGGGATACGTGTCTAGCGAGCGACTGAACGCCTTATCCCTCTGGCGCACCATGCTCGGACATTTAAACGTTCGAGACTTGACGAAAGTGCTGAAACATGGTGGTGTGACAGCGCGCGACAAGCAACTGCGTCCCTTTGAGGCTTGCGCAGCTGGGAAATTAGCCAATCTACCTTTCTTATCGAAGAAACCACGAAAACTTAAGCGCAGACAAGTCCTGATCGCAATCGACTATGTGGGGCCAATGAAAACGACATCGGCTTGGTAAGTATGATGATCGAGCCCTACCATTTAGCTGCGGGTTTTCCAGTGAAAGACAAAAGCTCAGCTACCCAGCAACATTCCGTGAATGCATTGCAAACTTGAAGGTAGCGGTCCCGAAGGCAAAAGTGTATGTACTGAAGAGCAACAACACTGCTGAGTACGTTGGTGGGGAAATAGCCGAGTTCTGCAACGAGAACCGGATTGCACAAGAGTTCAGCATACCATACGCGCCGCAGCAGAACGGCAAAGTTGAGCGGAGCAACCGTGTTGTCATCGAAATGGCGCGATCCATGCTTCAGGCAGCTGGGATGGACAAGCGATTCCGGAGCGACGCGGTTTTGGCCGCAGCGTGCATTTGAAATCGCTACCCGACTAAAGCACTAGCTAGGGCGACACCTATCGAAGCACTGACGGGGCGTATGCTAGTGCTGAGCAAGCTGCGAGTCTTTTGGCTGTGATTCTGAAGTGCTGCTCCCCAAATTGCAGCGGCAGAAGCTGGATGCCAAAACGGCGAAAGGAGTCTTTATCGGTTACGAGAATAACGGTGGGTATCGCTTCTCGGTACTGAGCGGACGAGGCGGTCTCGGACAGGTCGTCATATCACTTACGGCAGTCTTCTTCGAGTCTCAAGTCCCTAAAAATAAGTTGGTGACACTAGAGGGAGAGCTGCCAGCAGCGACACAGCCTGATCCAACCAGTGAAAATGTGCTGGTTGGGCTGGATACAGTACAAGAAGACGTGGAAATGGAACCTTCCAAACATGATACATCGGCTGCCGGAGAAGAACAGAGGCAGCACATCGTTGACCCCCGCATGGAGAAGCAAGTTGTTTGCCGCAGCAATCGTATCAAGAAGAAAAGTGTTCGCAGGCACGAATTTGAGGAGTCGCACAACGCGGAGGAAATGACATTGGTGAGTGAACCCCAAGACCCACTCACGCTGCAAGAAGCCATGTCTCGTCCGGATGCGAACCGTGGTGCCAAGCTATCAACGCAGAGCTGGACAGTTTGAGACACAATTGCACCTACGAAGAAATGTTTCCTCCAGCGACCGTACGTCCTGTGCAAGCCAAGTGGGTATTTCGTCGTAAGACCCTCGCAAACGGATCCTTGGACAAGTACAAAGCCCGGTAGTAGCCAAAGGATTCACGCAGCAGTATGGAGTGGACTATACAGAGACCTTCAGCCCCGTCGTTCGTCATGACTCAATCCGAGCCATTCTGGCTTTGACTGTTCAACTCGGCTGGGATCATCTTCAACTTGATGTGCAGACGGCATTCTTGAACAGCAGCCTGTCAAAAGAGATCTTTGTGTGGTGAAGTGACAATTGGCTTCTGCGAACAA